TGAGTTTTCACTTGATAGAGACTGAGTGAGTTTTCACTCGTGCAACATGTGTTAAAGTGAGTTTTCACTTGATAGAGACTGAGTGAGTTTTCACTCGTGCAACATGTCTTAAAGTGAGTTTTCACTTGATAGAGACTGAGTGAGTTTTCACTACTGCAACATGTGTTAAAGTGAGTTTTCACTTGATGGAGACTGAGTTTTCACTCGTGCAACATGGGCTAAAGTGAGTTTTCACTTGATAGAGACTGAGCGAGTTTTCACTCGTGCAACGTGGGTTAAAGTGAGTTTTCACTTGATGGAGATAGTGAGGTTTTACTGGCTTGAGTGAGTTTTTACAGCACTGTTTGAAGTGATTGAGGAGAGGTAAAAGATTCATTTGTTCAAGTGAGTTTTCACTGTATTCTTTTGAGAGTCATTTTTGAGTGAGCTTTTTCAATGGCTAAAACAACTAGACGCTTGCCGAAGTTTTAACTGCATTGTAATGTGGGACATGCATGATGGAGTGAGGTTTACTAGTGGAAATAGAGTTCGTTGTAGTGAGTATTCACTGCAATATTAGATATGAGGCGTGAGTTTTCACAGTGTTTTTTTTTTGTGTGTGTGGGTGTGTTGTCTTTTTAACGCTGCCTTGCTGAGTGAGGTGTCACTAGTTAACATGAAGATTCGTTAGCACGGCATTGTGTTCGGCTTTAATTACGGAGTACTCATTTGTATAAACAACGGTTGCGGTGGAGCGAGTTTTTAAGTCTTCGATTCTTGGCATTCATAATTAAGCGAGGGAATGTTCACGGGTTAAAACAACGTTTGTTAGCATGAGTGTTCATGGCATACGTTTGATATATTTATTCTTCTTAGTGGTAAGAGAGTCTCACTTGGTTCATACYGATACGTCGGAGWGATTATGTATTTCGGGATAACGATAGTCCCGGAATAACTATACGTGTGGTTGTTGTGCAATGTGGAAGTAATCCCTCCGATTGGACGRGAGTTAACGTGAACCTTTACTTGAAGTAAAAGGAGAGGTGGCGCTGTTGAAGAAATCTGTGGAAGAGATGACGAAGCTAATTAAGCGTGGCGGGCTTGCTGGCCAAGGCGTTTGATTATGCAAATCGGCCGGAATCGGAGTTTAATAAGTACGACCCATTAAAAATTCTGGAGACACTCTAGAACGCGGCCAGAGACACGAAACACGAGAAACGCGAGTATTACCATCTCGCGTACCAAAGTGCTCTGAATAAGATGGATATTCGGTACGAGCACTTTTTGGGAAATAAGGATCACCAAAAGGTTTTTTTTTAGGGCAGTCGCAATGGTTGAGAAGGGGATGGTAAAGAATTTAAGGTGGGATCGTCAGATTACACCTTACAGGGCCAGCCAGGAGGGGTACAAGGTTCCCCGAAGATGCTATTATTGTAATAAATCAGGCCAACTGTGGGCCAAATGCTTGGCAAGGAAAGCTGCGGAGAAGGGTCAGGGGCCGTCATTTGGGCCCGGAAAACTCCAATAATGACAAGAAATGATAGTAATAGAGAAATGATAATGTCATGTGAGTGCATACGTATAGGCAGATCCATGGGGTTTGTAGTTGAGGTTCTAATAAACCATGCTAACGAGTAATGAGTGTCGTGTCTATTCATTATTGAGGCAGGGTCATTGGGGAAATTGATAGTCTTGAAAACAGGGCCTGCTTAAAAACCCTCCCGGTCATACTGGGTCGAGACTGTCTTTTCTCTACTGACCTGTGTTGCGGGATATCTTTAAAATGAGTAGATGGTTATTTGCATTTGCTATTTGTCTTGACAGAACACAATAACCCGGGAATGGGAAAGAGACACTGGTGGGTTTGATAACGAAGTGGCTAACAGGATACTACGTTGCGATATCCAGTGGGTAGATTGGAAGGGAAATCTCGCAACGGTCGGTAGAGGAAAGACAGAAAATCTTGACCTAGCACTTGCGGAACAAAGGGTTCAGAAAGGGGAGATCATTGGAGATGTGAGAGTTTGACTTTCGAGACCTAAATCGAGTCATAGTGGGAGAAATCACAACCATGTCGAGAGCTGGGCTGATTTTGCTTGTTTCACTAGGATTGGTAGAATTGGGATTGAGGAATGGGGAGTTTATTTGAGGGGGCTTTTGAGGATAGAACACAAACAGTGAATACAGTGTTGGGATATTGCCAATGTCTTGGCTAGGCGCAGGACGTGGCTGACCAATATTTTTGCCCATACCTCATTACAGCTGAGCATGAATGCGAGTGTTATTGAATAGAATACTATTCATAACACTCGTAATGATATGCAAAGATGAAATGTGGTATTTATAA